AATTTCACTATGGTTTATGGTCCTGGGGTTTATAAACCAACAAACACAACGACAACGGGGGCCCACGTTGAATGCAATGTGGGTATGTATAGCAATAATAAACCACCCATTTTTGATGGTTTATACCACCTATAAAAATGGTGATTAGGGGGATGATTTATTATTGTTATACCCACATTACATGAATCATGTTTTTCTTGCAGCGCCTGAGTCGTCTAAGGCAGGTTTCCAGGACCATCAAATCCATCTTGAACAAACTCACCCTCGAGAAGTGCCGTGGGCGAAACCTTAGTCTGAGAGGCGTCTCAGCCCCGGGTGGGGTTGGAGCAACGCGCAACCTGAGATGGGACCATTGCAAACCAACAACATCCCAAGGGATTGGAAGATGGGTAATATGTATATAATTATATATGTAATTATCACATGTGTTTGTCCAACTGGAACATGATTTACATTGATCTATTAAATTTATGATGATGTTTTCCATTGCAAACTGCCATTTGACAGGTGTATCCCAATGGTACTGTGACTCTTTTGATCAGACGTTGCCCCGAGAGAAGGAGATTCGCTTCACATGAGGATCTTGTCGCTCCGTTGAGGGACTCAAATGACAGTCAATTTTCAGTGGGGTTGGAGATGGTTAGAAGTTGTTTTTTTCTGCAAACTTCATGGCATCCTTAAGTTCATATCTTCACTTCGGCTTTTCTTAAATCAGGCTATATTGATATTGTACAATCTGGGGCTCACTAGTTATAAGTTGGTTTATGACCCCCATCTAACTCTGGTTATACATACCATAAACCATAGTGAAATTGGAGTTAGGTTAGCACCAACTGAACGCGATTTTGCTAACGGGGCCCCACGAGTTGTATCATATCATGAGACGTTTTTTGCAGGTGAATCTTTTGGGGGACATCCGTGTATCCCGAGATCTTTTTACGATGGTTTCTGTACCTTTTTCTGTGTCTTCCAGTCTGCCGAAGATGGAAAAGACTGTTGATCTATTAAAAGCTTCTTAAACGGAGGGGAGGGTATCCCAAATGAATCCAAATGATCCAAGTTCAGTATATTAGTATAGCATTGAAGAATTGAAGACCATTGTGACTTGAGCCCAATTTGAACACCTCTGCGCAGATTTGCTGATTCTTCGCAGAGCAAGGGACTTTGGGTCGCGAAAAACTGAGGTTCGCCAATCTGTCTCAGCAACTTCTTGAATGCGCCTTGGACCGCCGTGAGAATGCACGGATGCATTCTCCAGCAAGTGGCGATAAGACAGCTAGGAACATGTGATTTTAACTGGAGAAAATGATGATATCATTGGGATGACACTGACAATATGCTAGGGCCTATGCACTTGCAGATTGGGTCCATGAATGCTTTTACAGACATGTTCTATCATGACCAAGACAAGCGCCACGCTTTGGACATCAGTCGGCCAAGTATTTGCTCACTTGAAATCACTTGAAAGTCCATCAAATCAGCCCCATTCGGTAATCAAACATGGCTGGCTGGAAAATGAATCATTTATAGGTGATTTTCCTGTTAAAACCTCCAGTCAGCGCGGGGATTTTCCAGCCAGCCATGTTTGATGAAACCAGAGGGTAACTTCTATGCAGCAACCCATGTTGTCCCAGGTTCGACGTGAAGGTCTGCACCCCCCCCCAGCAGCATCCAGCTGTGGAATTGATTTTTCCCAGCGAAGAATGGTGCCCATAAGTCGTGGGGCCCCCGTTTACGTCGTGAAATGTTAGTTGGTTTATCAACCCCAGGAATACTAGTGAATAAGTGAAATTGTAGTCATAAGCCAGTGATATCCACCATCAACCAGAGTTATTTCACCCAGTGAAACGTGGCCCAGGTGGAATTTCCTCCTCAGAGCACCTGGTCGTTCTCATTCACGAGGCCATGAGGGTCCATTCTCCGCATCGTTGGGTGAAAATTAAAGACGACCAGAGATGTATCCTATGGTTTTACTATGGTTTTATATGTTTTTTTCTATGGTTTTATATGGTTTTACTATATGGTTTAATATGGTTTTACAATGGTTTAATATGGTTTTACAATGGTTTAATATGGTTTTACAATGGTTTAATATGGTTTTACTATGCTTTTATATGGCTTTAATTGGTTTTCTATGGTTTAATATGGTTTTTGTTTGGGATGATCATGGGATAATACTGGGATATTCATGGATTTATCCTCTGCAAAACGAACATAACCATGGAAAATCACCATGTTTAATGGGAAAAGTCAGTCTAAATTGCCATGTTCAATAGCTATGGTAGTTTAATTACCAGAGATTTAAGTCGTTTACCTACTATATTGACCCAGTCTTTTTAGGTCTACGTTTTTTTTTGAGAATCCACTATTTCCCCCAAGCATGTTTGGGGAATTTTGGGGATAGCAATAGTGCGGAATTTAAGCCACCATTAGGGGATCTAGTACGGATCCAATAGGACAACCAGCTCGAGAATCTGGATGAATTATGGGGAATCCCCTACAATGTGGCCCCCTCCCCAATTATGTCTGTTGGTTTATAAACCCCAGGAATGCTAGTTATTTGCGTACCATTAAAACCCTTAGTGAAATTGTAGTTATAGACATTATAAACCAGTTATATCCACCATAAACCAGAGTTAATTCACCCAGTGAAATGTGCACCAACTTAGCGATTTCGTAAAAAAAAAAGGGTGCCCACTTTCTGCATGAATGGAGGCTTTAGTGGAGAAAGTTCTGTTGAATAGATTAAAATAATAAAAATTGTGGATCCTCCACTGCCCTGTTTGATTGCTAGAGGGAACACATCCCATTCTTTTTTCCTGGTGTAAATTGACGATTTTATCCACCTAGAAAACCTATTCATCCAAAATTGGAAATGGGTTAAAACTAGTATAGCTCATACAGTAGTATGTATACATATATACGACAGATTTGTTTGTACAAATGGGTTATCCCTTTTTGGCGCTATATAAAAATCATTATTTGTTGATGTTACGATTATAAAACAAATGGTTGATAACGTGTTATCAAATGGATTGGCTGTTGGATTTTCTATTGATGTGAGACCGGATTCAATACCTGTGGGTGGAATCCATAGGGTATACCACATCGATTCAATATCAACTTAGGAAATACTCGAAACATGTGTCACCACTTTAGATAGCGGGTTCTTCAACAATAACAGCCATCCTCCTACATGTTGTCACATCACACCTCATCCCCATGTGCCCCCCTGATCAATGCTGTTATTGCCCGATGCAGGCCGGGATCGGAACCGAAATGGCTGTGTTTTTCAATGGTTTTTGCAAGCAAAGTGATGTAACAACATTGAATTGGGGGGAAAGGGGGCATGCAAGTCTCTTCGCACTGGGTGTGACAGGATGGTTTTTTTTGAGAACCTGGCATGTTCAATCAAGTCTAATGTGCCAGCGATACTGGTGGTGTATGCGAACCAATGACGTTTCAAGAACCTGCAGAATGTAGCTAGGTGTCAAACCATTTTACAACCACTCAACTGGCAGAGTGGGATATCGCAGTGGGGATACCATTACCTGGGAGGTAAATCCCGTCAAAGCAGTTTAACGCGTTTAATGACTCAAGTTCGATTGAATGTGAGATTTCCCGTGTAAATACACAGTTTTCTCATTAAAAGAGCCAAAAATTGTGATATGAATACATTAACAATTTTGGGACAAACCGGAAACCCATATCAATCATCCCATCACAACTTGGTTTATCAGATCGTTGCCCATTATTTTTTACATTTTTCTGGTTAATTTATGTGTTCTTTTCTTGGTAAACATACCCCTTTTATGGGACACATCCCACATCATCCCACACAAAAAGATGCGAAAGATACCACTGAAACCAGTTTTGCCCGTTGTGTTTGACTTTCTGGCAGGTCTTTGAGAAGGCAACCACTCAGCATCATTTCATCGAAGCATGGTGTGAATGATCCGAGGGTCCGAGCTCGGCGAGCTCGGATGATTCCCAGAGGGTGGTTTGTTGTGGTTAGTGAGGTCTCAGCTCATTGGAAAAGTCCATAAAATGAACCAGTCCTATACGATGTGGGCCCCCCCAGTTATGTCTGTTGGTTTATAAACCCCTATGAATATTATAGTTGTAATTTTAATCATGTTTCATATCCACCATAAACCATAGTTATATTACCCAGTTATGTGCACCAACTTAGCTGTGGTTTTGGGGGCCTACATTGTATATAGATTTTGCAAGATGCAATCTACAGAGACAGCCCTCCTAGTTATAAGTTTGTTGAGTCGCATTTATCAAAGTGTATATCCAGGCACAACACCTATCCAGTGGTTATGAGGGAGCCAAGGAGCGTTTGGGGTATCCATATTCCCTATATATTCCCTATTCAATGGGGAGCCAAGGAGCTACTTAGAGTTTCCCAATCATCCAATAGAAACCTTAGTTGGCCAAGTGATGTTTGCCAACTTACTTATCAATTTGTTGGTCCCACTTTTCAGTGGGTCGATGATCTCGTTTCACCACTAGATGTTTGTAGGAGGCTGAAGCCACACACTGGTCCATGTCTACACATGTCCGTTAGCCAGTGTGACTGATACTATCGGATAGTTAACCATGAAAACTTGGTAACTTGTCCTCATGGACAGCAATCTAAATTGAGAATCTCGTGAAAATAGTGTTACTGCCAGTTCGCATCATGAAACATGTCTCTTGCGTTTACCGGGTGGATGGGTATATACCTTACTCTCACTTTTTGTTCCGCTTCACAATACTGAACACTTAATCATGGTTTAGGGAATGATCCCCTCCCAAGTGGCACCGCAAGACACCTAGTCTTGTACATGATATTTACATATATTTACTGTATATTGTCTACAGTTGCCCTGAACACAGTTGTAAAGGGGATTATACCTTTTATAACTAATGTTGTAAATCATAACAATCCATTCACCGGGCACTGTTTCTTTTGGGGGGGGTCGTGTGGTCGTCCCCACGACTTCTGAAAGGACATGTACGCGGATCTCTGCGTGCTGTTGCACGAACACTTCACCGCCAAGCCGTTGGACAAACAGTGCGCGACCTTCAAACGCCTGCCGCTCGGCACCTCTTAGGACCTGGACAGGATGAGGATGACGACTGAGGGTTGCGAAAAAGTCTGAAGATCCCCAAGGGTTGCGCTTATGTACATTTAAAGATAGTATAATATATATATATATATAGATTTTATGCTATAAGCAAAAATTCAAATACATATAGATATATTATAGAGGTTATATGTCTATGTATAAATATGTATGTGTATATATATATATATATAAAATCCTTTGACCATAAGGTTTGCATTTTACTTAGGTTTGGGATAAACATGCGTCTAGGATGCTGTAGGAACACGGCTGAAGATATATCACAGATCAGGAGACTCCATGGGACCCTGAAGATGAAATTTTGATAGGCGGTACAAAGATGTATACTACAATGTGGGCGCCCCCAGTTATAAGTTGGTTTATAAACCCCATTAAGTATAGTTATATCCACCATAAACCATAGTTGACCCAGTTATAAATCAACTTAGCTATCGCTTGGGGGCCCACTTTGTAAAGTATTACGAAAGTATGATGAACCACGGGATTCAATGGGCTACCAAGCGACACATTTCCTGACCTAGCATCCTGATCTAATCCTGGTGTTGGTGTACTAGAATTTACCATTGTTTCCCTACTCACTGCGCAATCTATGTAACTTGCGTGGAAGGTCTATATATGTTTTGATCATATCCACGAAAAGGTCATTTCTGCCTCAGTCAAAATTGAAGTTGATCTTTTGGGGGATGGTCATACGTCATACTGTCGTGGTTCATTTTTCCCAAGTGGTTTTTTTTGCAGGTATTGTGAGTTGGTTTAGGACTACTGCATGCTACTGCCAAAAAAGACCGGGTATACCAGGTTTATGGTGGAAAAAAATACGCTTGGTTTTCTACACCACATACGATGAATGACCATTCAGGAACCTAAATTGGAGGTACCTACCATATATAAGGCCTATGTAAGGTCTACATAAGGGAATAGCTCCAGAAAATATGTCCTTATGGTACCGTATCTCCGTTTTGGGATCCTGAAATTGCCATTGATACAACTGGAGCGTTTTCACATTCCAACTCCCAAAATGGCAATTTTCCATAGCAAACTGTTAGTCATTACCAGAGGGTAAAGAGATTTTAAGTTTTTTTTTCTTTATCATGCTGAGGTCCCTGCAGGCTGAGAAATTTCCAATGGGCAACCTGTATTTGAGGCTGCTCAATCGTGGAGAAATGGTAGTAAATAACTACAGTAGTTTCCAAGGTTTTAAACAAACCTCATCATATCGCAGTGAATTGAAAATTATAGTGTATACATCTCAATATTCAATATACATAGGATACATATTGAACATATTCACGATTCTATAGAATTATAGACTCCAGATATGTTACACATATTAATAATCAATAATGTTTATCATTATTACTATTTACTATACTTATTATTTATTATCATTCTACTATTTTGATTATCACATTCTATATTTTTACTATCATCACAGTCATTATTTTCCTTAAATACAATGATTTCTTATTATCAATGAATTCTGATTAGTCTTTTTCCACATGTCTTATTACTATATCCCAGATGCTCAATGTATGGCATATTTACTAACATTTACCCCATAAATTACCCAGTTTTGTAGGTAAATATACTATACATGGAGCATATAGGTATAGTTGAACATGCTGACCAACCACACCCGGAATCCCTCACTTGGCGAAGGTTGCTGGATGAATGCCAATCCTCCTTCGAGCATCTCCTTGCGCCGCCAGCTCTCGATGAGCTGTCGTCGCCCGAGGAGCGCCGCATCGCGGAAGTCAGCCACTGGGTCGACCCACGGGGTCGCTTAACGAATCGAACGGGGAAAACGGCAGGCGTTGCCAAAAAAAGATGGCCATCAAGTGGTTCAACATAGCTTAAAACCATAGGAACAGATAGTTCTTCACGTATAGATTCCCCCATATGTTAAGTCATAGTGGTTAAACATATGTTAAAACAGATTAAACATATGTTAAGCATTAATGCCGGAATATAGGGGAATCCATGAATGGAAGTATTTCCCTGAACTGAACGGAGGTCTGTAGCTGGGATAATCATATTTGTACATGTTACATATCGGCAATTCATCCTTTCCCCCTAATACTAATCCCCCCCTAATGCTAAACACTAGGGGTAGATTTTAGTATTAGGGAGTACTTATTATTAGAGAACCCTAATGTAAAAACAAACATTTCTTTCTTTTTTTTCGATTTCAACATCAATCAAATTTCCTTATATAACGCAATTCAAACATTACCAAAATCAGGGGACCCTAATACAAAACACCACCGGGTGAACTAGTTTTTTTATAATTAGGGGGTCAAACCCACAAAACGTAGTTTTTTTTTTGGGGGGGGGGATCAATTAAAAGTCAAATTGGCCAACTTTAATTTTTCCAAAATTGGAGGCAGACTCTAGTTTTTAGTATTTGGAGGATGGTTAGTAATAGGGGGAAGGGATTGCATAGATGATTTTCAGTTGCTATGCTTGATGACACTGGAAGGTATCCATTAGTAAACTTAGCTTCGTTGATAAGCTAATGACTACGTTTAAACTTATTACATAATATTGGTTTGTATCAATACTTATTGTGTATTATGTTTTAAACTGGAGGGTATCCATTAGTAAACTTATTTGCCAATGGGTTATTCACTGGTAATACACCATTTTTTGAACTCGGGTGGATGGAGGGAGGCTACATGATCCAAGCTGCTCAGCGGAGATGTTGCGATGGTGTTTGTGTTAGAATTTACCAGGTGCTGAGGCCACCAACAACCAGGAAAACCATAGGAAACCATAGGAAAACCATGGGAAAATGGTGGTTTAATGGGATTTAATGGTGTTTAATGGCTATCCAGTGGTGAACGGAGGGAGCGATAAAAGGAGCGAACTTGGGGTATCCATATTCCCAAGAAATATTCCCTATGAAAAATGGGGAGCCGGCCACGGAGCTACAATTCGTGAGTTTCCCAACCATTAGTTTAGGCGTGCTGCACGATGATTTACCATGGCTACCATGGTGATTTCAAACATTCCAAGTCATGGTTCGAATCATCTACCACATATAATGTTGAATCCTCAATGGTGAGATATGATCAGGAGTATACAACCAGTGTATGATGTGAGCAATGACCATTTAAGGTGATTTACATGTTTTTTTCAGAAATGATCAACAGTAGGGATTCAACTTAGAAAAAGGCGATGTAATTGGGATAGCAGCCAAGATATCATACGAGATATCATATTTCCCAACCATTATGCACATCATGCATATTTCTTCCTTTACTATTCCCATAAATCACTGGTCTATATATATATATATACCCTCTGGTAATTTAACAGTTCGCGATTGAACATGGACATTTAAATAGGGTGTTTTGCCATGAAAAATCGTGGATTTGTCCATCGTTTCATCAATATCCCAGTATTATCCCATTATCATCACCAAAAAAAGCATATTAAACCATAGTAAACCATATTAAACCATAGTAAAACCATATTAAACCATATTAAACCAAAGTAAAACCATAGTAAACCATAGTAAAACCATATTAAACTATAGTAAACCCATATTAAACCATAGTAAGCCATAGTAAACCCATGTTAAACCAGAGTAAACCATAGCAAGCCACAGTAAACCCACGTTAAACCATAGTACACCATAGTAAGCCATAGTAAACCCATGTTAAACCATAGTAAACCACA